AGCTCTGGGCCCTCCAATCTTGCTGTCCATCAAAAAACCCCAACCCCATTTGCTGTCTCAAGCGGTCATTTCCTTTTCTTGCACGAGGGGACTGCCTCTTCATGCTGGGGAAGAGGGTTAAAGGAAGCATTTCCCAGGCCCAGGGAATACCTTGCCTAGTTGCTGGATTTCTTGACTTTGGCTGAACTGGTGCTGCAGGAGGGTAAGATGAAGTCACCAGCTTCCACGGTGTCACATTTTTGGCTCCCGTTAAGGCAGAAGTGGCAAGAGACCTCGGCAGGCGAGTGTTCTGCCTTGCAGAGAGTTTCCCGTGAATCGTCTGGCCTTTGCTCAAGACTGCTGGGAAATGCGATTTGCAGGCCTCCGGCCTCCGGCTGAGCCAAAAACACTCAGTGAGCTGAGCTTGGAGACTTTCTATCTGAGCCAGACTCTCGCTCTAAACCAGAACTTCACCTGGCCTTTTTTGGCTCGGGGTCGGCTGCTTCGAATCTGTTTGAAATATGGCAGGGCCTGGATGCTCGCACTGGTGGCGAGGAGTGTTTCTTTTCGTTCGCGCTGCCTGGTTTGTCTGCTTGTGGTTCTTTTTCGATACATTTGTAAAGCATCTATTCTCATGTTCAGCGTGGCCATAAAAATAGGACACAATCCATAAAAATGCTCCTCCTCCTCCTCCTCCTCCTCCTCCTCCTCCTCTTCTTCTTCTTCTTCTTCTTCTTCTTCTTCTTTTTCTTCTTCTTCTTCCTCTTCCTCTTCTTCTTCCTCTTCTGCAATTAGAGGCATGCCCAGATCGCAGCAAGCCTCCAGTGTGAACACAGCCATTGTCTCTTACCTGGAGCACCAGGGTCCAGTTGATAGTTTCAAAGCAGAAAATAAATAAACCACTTGCTCGACTGGGAATTTGACGCATAAATCAGCAGCACGTTCAGATGTGAATCCAAATGAGGATGCCGTCCATATGCAGTGTTGTGATTCTTATTAAACAAGTTGCACTTTAATGTCTTGTTTATCAGCGACTGAAATTTGTCTGGGACCAGTCTGTCTTCCGCTAAACCGACCCTTGCCGTCCTCCAGGATGTGATGAAAAGATTAAGATATCAAGGGATTGATTTCTAAAGACCCTGGTGGTAGGATCAGAAGTCAACCCTCGGCAGTGTTCCCTCTAAGCTGTGGAGTCTCGTGAGCAAAAATTCTACTTTGTGAGCTACTGACATTAAAGTTGTGAGCGAGCCACTTGGCTCCTGCATGAATTAGTTTGCTCTGGAGGCCCATCCTTCCTGAGCAGAGACAAAAATGTGTGAGCCAGAGGCTAAAAAACTGTGAGCTAGCTCACACTCACTCAGCTTAGATGGAACACTGAGTCCCTCGGGCCTGTGCCTTCATGCCTTCGGCTCTTGCTAAACCTGAGATGCGAGTCATTTGTTTTGTACATGCACAGAGGCGCCGTCATTTCTCTTGCTGCTTCATGTTAAATCAGCTTTTGTGTTCAAAATAACTCGGGCTGGAGCCCCAAAGTCTCCTTCCTGTTGCAATAACCTGATTTCTGCAGCTGCACTGTTAACCCTTTCCTCCCCCCTCTTTTTTCCCCCAGTTGGGATTACAAAAAGTATTTCCCCACCCGAGACTTGCAGGTTTATTCTGTGCGCCCCCTCCTGGCATACCCCACTCACTACACTGGGGAGGCCAAGTGGATGAGTGACACGGAGACCTCCACCATCTGGGACGACGACTCCCACAAGACCGAATGGAGCGGCTCACAGAAGACGCTGAAGGATGCCCGCACCATCGGCAGCGGCACAACCGGCCACTCCTTTCGCTCGGCCTCCAGGGATGAGCTATAACATCTGCTGGGTAAGTGAGACCCGCAAAACAGCTGTGCAGCAGATGTGGATCCACTCTGGTGCTGGAAGCGTGGGCTGTTGCCTGCAGGAAAACCCTTCCAGAGTTCAGTGTTCTCTTAACGTATTTTTCAATGTGGTTGATATTTGTCTGTCCCACTTTTTAATAGCTGCTTTATGTGTTTGTGGAGCTGCGGTGGCTCAAGTGGTTAAGACGCTGAACTGCAGGCTGTGGAAGGTCGGTAGTTCATCAGTTCGAGACATGGGTGCCGCATGACGGAGTGAGCTCCCATCTCTAGTTCCAGCTCCTGCCAACCTAGCAGTTCGAAAGCAAGGAATTGCAAGTAGATAAATAGGTACTACTTCAGTGGGAAGGTAACAGCGTTCCGTGCGCCTTGGCGTTTAGTCATGCCGGCCACATGGCCACGGAAACATCTTCGGACAGCGCTGGCTCTTCGGCTTGGAAACGGAGATGAGCACCGCAACCCTAGAGTCGGACTCATGCGCGCACATACAGTGGAGAAGTTGGACGCAGAGATTTTCTATCTAGGGCTCTGTGCAAATGTAACATAAAACTGGAATAGCCAAATATAGACAAATGGATGTGAATTAGTGTTGAGTTTGGGCTTCCCTGGTGCAGAATTGTTAGCACAGAGTTGGGCAGTATGGAGTGCATGGCAGTGTTCCCTCTAAGCTGAGTTAGTGTGAGCCAGCTCACAGTTTTTTAGCCTCCGGCTCACAGATTTTTGTCTCAGCTCCAGAAGGAGGGCTCCGGAGCAAACTGATTTATGCTGCAGCCCAATCGCCCACTCACAACTTTAATGCCAGGAGCTCACAAAGTAGAATTTTTGCTCACAAGTCTCCACAGCTTAGAAGGGAGCATTGGTGCATGGTATATTTTGAATGTGAGAGATTCAAGGTCATTTTTTTGTCTGTCTGTACCTCATATACATGGGATTTCTAATGCTCTGGCCTGGTCTTACACATACTGGAGTGGTAGAATCTTCTTTTTTTTTTGTTTATAAACTCTCCTAAAAAGAAGAGAACTTTATTGCTTTTTATATTAGAAAGGGGGGAGGGTATATAGCGGGGTAAAGAAAAGGTCGAGTGATGTTTCCATTAGTTTGTTAGTCTGTTAAGGTTAGTAAAAAAAAAAATCTTCTTTGGCTTCATTATGGTGTCAATCGTCTTTCATCTTCTCAGTTACAGAAAAAAAAAGAATGTTAAAAATAAGGAATTAGTAGTGTCCCACTGTTAAACTGTTAAACTGTTAATAAAAAGCTTTTCAGACGCTCTGCGAATTAATTCTTCCATCTTCGGGCTGATTTCTTCTCCCAGGCGACAGGGGAGGTCCTCCTCTGCGCTCCTCTCCGTTTCACAGCTTCTCTTCCGGGTCATCGCTTTCCAGTCACAGCATGCAATTGTCACTTTGCATCTTCCGATTCGCCTTCCCGATAAAGTCCCAAGCTTTTAGAACGATTATTTCTCTTTTTTTTGTCATTCGACTTTAAAATAAACGCTGTCGTTCTCATAGCTAGGTCATCTATCCACATCTCC